CCATGGCCACTGCTGCTGCCTCCACCAGGCCAGAGGTGGCCCCGACGCTGGCCCGGCCTCCAGGGATCAACAGCAGGCCCTCCCCTTCCGCATCCTCGGACAGGCTGTAGCAAGCTTTCACCACGCCCTGCGGTGGGGCCACAGTGCTGGGGGGCACGCTGCTCTGGGCCAGCTCCCCCAGGTGGCTGCCCACCGAGCCTCCGATGCCCAGACCTCCTCCCAGGCCTCCGGGAGGTTTGAGGCGGTGTGCCACCTCCAGGGCAGACTCCACCTTGACGATGCAGATGTCAGACACATCCTCATCCTCATCCTCATCCTCTTCCTCAGCCTTCAGCTCCAGGTCCTCATCCAGCGGAAACTCTAGCTTCACAGGCCGAAGGAGGGGAGGGGGAAGCGGGGGTGGAGGTGGGGGTTTGGGGGCTGGCTTTGGGGTCCTGGCAGGAGGGAGGAGGGATTTGGTGGCACTGACACTGCTCACAAGGCTGGCATCGCTGACCCCATCCTCTTTGAGGCCTATTTTGGGCTCGATAAACTGACTGAGGGCATTCCGGCACTTCTCCACCACGTGCTCCATCTGCAGGTAGGAGGCGGCGGTCAGGTAGTTGACGATGTCCCTGACAGCGAATTCCAGGGCGCCCGTGTAGCAGGAGAGCAGCAGGTCGGCCACTATGCGTGCGCTGTGCATGAGTGAGACCTGCAGCTCAGAGCTGGGGTTCAGCAGGAACTGGTCCCGCAGGAAAGGGGAGCAGGCAGCCAGGATGACCTTGTGACCTCGGAACTTGAGGCTGTCGGCCACAATGGTCACGTCGCAGAACCGCTCCTCTGCGCGGAGCTGGTTCATGTTCCGCAGTGTAGCAGCCTCGTGGCCCGGCAGCTGGAAGCGCAGGACTTCCACCCCAGAGGCCATTGTGGCGGGGGGTGGGCAACCCTGGTTGGGAAGGAAACCGGTCAGAGACAAAGGTCTCTGGCTCTCCTCAGACAAGGCTCCAGGCCCCTCGTCCCCATCTTGCCCGGCCCCCCAGATCACATCTCCCAGTCTTCAGTCCTCGGTTTCCCCAGCCCCGGGGTGGGGGTGGGGGCGCTGTCCCTGCCCCGAGAGGGAGGCGTGGCT